ACGTAGAGTGGCGATGTGGTCTGTACACGATCTATCTTGTCTAAATCCTGCCTGCTCTGATCTCAGTCTTTTGTCTAGCGCCTCTTTCAGTCTCTCCAAGATGATTCTAGTCAGCACCTTGCTGGGGATGGACAGCAGCATGATTCCTCGCCAGTTGCTGCACTGGGAAAGGTATCCTTTCTTGGGCAGCTTCACTAGGTACCCAAGCTTCCAGTCGGCGGGCACTTGCTCCTGCTCCCAAATCTTCTGCAGGAGAGTATGTATTGTCTCTGCTGCTGCTGCCGCATCTCTCTTGAGAACTTCTGGTGGGAGGCCATCAGGACCTGCTGCCTTGCTGTTCTTCAAGGACTTGATGGCTTTGATGATCTCTGCCTTGGTTGGTGGGTTGGTGTTGACACATAGGGGCTCCTCTGCTGGTGGTATGTCAGGAGGAGCTGCTGGTGGTGGTCGGTTCAGAATCTCCTCAAAATGCTCTACCCACCATTCTCTCTGTTCTACATCGCTTGTGATGGTTCTTCCCTGTTTGTCCTTGACTGGCTTACTTAGGTTGAAGCTCTTCCTTGACAAGGCACGCATGATTTCATAGAGTCTCTTCATGTTATTCTGACTAGCTGCAGATTCTGCCTCCTCTGTCAAACCTTGTATGTATTGTCTTTTGTCGTGTCTTGCACTTCTTTTCACTTCTCGGTTTGTTCCCAGTACTCTGCTCTTAAGTCTCCCTTCACTTGTTGGTCCTGACATCTATTAATCTTCTGCTTCAGTTTTCTTCTCCTCTTTATCTTCTCCCATGTTTCATTCGACATCCACTCCTTCTGCTCCCTCTGGCTCTTCCCCAGTACTTTGGTACAAGCGGTCTTTCAGGTCTTCTGTAATTCAGCCCAGTGGTTCTCTATTGTCTATTCTACCAGATCTGTCAGTGCCTCAAAACTGTTTCTGACTTCACAGTTGAACTCTTCTTTGTTCTTGCCATCTTTCAAAACTGAATGTTAAATTTATGGTGTGGTGTGCCTGAAGAGTCACAGGAGGATCTCAGCTTGGTCTTCAGTGTTGCCACAAGCAACTGATGGTTTGAGGCTGCGTCGGCGCCGCACCTTGCTCTGATATCCAGCAGACTTCGTCTCCACTTGTGGTCAATGGTGAAGTGGTCGATCTGGTTGTCCGTCTTCCCATTTGGTGATGTCCAAGTGGTCTTGTGGATCTTCCTGTGAGGATAGATGGTGCCACCTATGACTAGGTCATTGAAAGAACAGCGGTCTATAAACAGCTCTCCGTTCTTGTTGCAGGTGCCTATGCCATGTCTGCCCATGATGAGTTCTCTGTCTGTGTTTTCGTCTCCCACCTTAGCATTCAAGTCGCACATCACGATCTTCATGTCTCTTCGTGGAGTCCGGTCGAAAAGGGACTGCAAGGAATTGTAAAAGTATTCTTTTTCTTCTTCATCTGCCGCATTGGTTGGTGCATAGCATTGGATGATGGTTATCTTCCTGCCCTTGGAGTTAAATCTTGCTGACATAAGTCTTGCTGGGACGGATTCCCATGCCATCAATGCCCTTGTAGCCTCTGACGCCAGTAGTAGCGCGACTCCTTGGGTGTGGTCGTGGTCCGCGTCTTCATGTCCGGAGTAAATGATGGTTTCACCTGAAGACAGTCTGGTCTGGCCGCTTCCATTCCATCTGGTCTCACATAGTCCGAGAACCTTGATGTTGTATCTTCTCATCTCGCTGGCCACTTGTGCTGACTTGCCACTCTCATACAGGGTTCTGGTGTTCCAGGTCCCTATCCTGGTCTTGGCCTTAGTCGTAAGAAGACTTGTCGGCGAGCTGGCTTCCCGAAGGCTTTCACCAGTCCGCATCATGGGCCCCGCCGAAGAGGAGTCTTCCCGTCCAGGCAGCTGCTGGGATTAAGTTGTTGTTGCAGTTTCTGTAGCAGGAATATACAGAATGTAAGGCATTTTAATATTTGATGTATGCTTGTAGTAAAAGATGCTGGAACTTATAAACGTTTCATAGACAGATTATCTCTTTGTAACTCCTTGTAAGTCTAAGAATATCAAAATGAGTTAAATAAGTTTATTTCTATCTATGATATTTTTCGTTTATGCTTAAAATAAAAAAACAAAGAGTTGATAACACTATGTTATCAGCAGAAAAGAACAAACACTAATACAAGGATTAACAACACGTATAACCTAACACTATTTATACTAAGAACACACAATTCCTTACAAAAAATATGATATAATTCATACTAATTTTGCTTTCCTAGTATTTCTTAATAAATCTGAAAATAACAACATGGCTAACGTGTCCGAATAACACAACCTGTTTACAAGAACTATATTTCAACATGAAAGGGTCGGTTAAGTGAATTGTGTAGCAGTCTGACATGAGCAATTAAAGCACGAAAAATCTAAATTTGACGCTTTATAAATCAAATAAAATTTTGATGATCATTTTTTATCGAAAAATGTAATCGCTATTAATTTTTATTTTCCTTACTTTTGGTTTAAAAAACAAACTTTTGTTAATACAATACGCAAAAAATATTTAGAAAATACCAGTTAACTAATACTTTCACAATACGAATAACATGTTAGGAAATGCTCAAATTTGCTAAATTACCGATGGTTATCATTATGCAAAGTTTTAGAAAAGTTTCGTTGAATAGTTATATTAATTTCCTAGAACCGTAAGGCGACTTGATTCCTTTTTTTTCATCTCATTACCTCAACGAGTATAAAACAAGGTTACAATATTTAAAATTCACAAACAGCTAAAATGGGATAGAAAATAATGCATCATTTAAAAACAACGTTTCGCCACTGTTAACATAGACTCATCAGGTACCGAGGGGAATCGAACCGCTGATTTTAGTAGTTAAATCCGAAGACTTACCGCTGTCACACCGGAGGACATTTCAGCAACCCAAAGGTATTATTTAAACATTTTAATGACAGAGATCCATATTAATTTCTCACAAAAGCTGTTTTTGTTGTCGATGGTTTGTTATTAAGCGCAAATCTACCAAGTGGGCAATCTGGGCTCTGCTTAACACGGGTATTAAAACACGATGTTAAACGTTGTAAGCACGCAGGCTTTCTGCTGAGCCACTGGGAGCCCCCCCCCCCTCCCCACGAAGGCAAGTAAGGTTAAAATATTATTTGAATTCAGTACCACTCACCTTAGCGCTATTACGATATATACTTATTGGTATATGATTAAAGCACTTGTAAGTACCATTTTATGTATTGGCAATGGTATCTCCGACAACACAGAACCAACATTTATTAGAGTATTATGATTTACAATGTGTTTTCCTTATTATGCATATGGTGGTTCAGGTACGTATGATGCTGACTTAATAAGTTTAGTTAGCTTGAAACTAATTCAGATATATGAATAATCTGTGAAAAATGTTCTGCTCAAATGACCCTTCTCTCCAACATCAATTTAAAACTATTAGATTCAATATGACATTATAGCTTAAACATTTTTTAAAAGTATGTCTTCTGTATTAAGTTATAATAGTTTACTAATATGCTTAGTTGAAAACATTTTGCACAAATTTATGTGGAATTTTGGTTTGCTTTAATACGCAGGAACAATGTTACTGTTTTAATACATTTCTAGCTGTTCGAACGGCCGTCCATGACCTAGTGATTTACAATTTGTGACAGGTTGCAGCAAAAATGCGCTTTGTGATCACTAATGTGCTATAAGAGTGTCAGCCACATCACACAATTCGATCAGAGTCCAAGAGTTTGGCTAATTCCCTTCTTTCTAGTCTATCTGTTCAAAATTAAGATGGCAAACATTTAGGATAAACGTAATTACTAAGTGCCAGTTTTACATCACAAACTTGACAATATGTAAATAATTCTTATGTAGCTTTGCGCTAAATTCTGAAACAAATGAAGAAAGAGTAGTTGTTCGATGCGGCAGAAAATTTTAACATACTCGCTTCAGTTGAAAAGGTACATGAATAGTCCTACTATATTATGTTTACAACTTTAATTTATCATCTTCATCAAGTGATTATTTGCCTAAAACAGTTCTAGAACTATAAATATTGAATATTTGCATTTACAGTAGTTATATTTTGTTGCAATTATCAGTCCAAACAGAAATCCTTCTTATGTAACTAAAAATTTCACACACCATATCGTTTTCCATTTTAACACTCACGAAACAAATTCTCAGGTAACGTTCGATATACCTTTATCATGGGGCTGGCATTTGAGTGATGAAGGTAATAATTGGGAAACTGGCTTTTAGTAATAATTTATAACTATTATCCTAAGATTGTAATATTTTATTCAAGAGGTGGTTAAAATGAAAAGAGCACTGAGTAATTATTTATGAAACCTAACATATATTCATTGAATTTTATTGAAGTTGAATTTATTGAAGTTTATATTCGTGTCCCTTAAAAATGTATATCTTTTAATAATACTTGTCTTTATATTTTTAGGAGGAAGAGGAGGACGTTAAGGAGCAGCTGAATATTCCAAAAATTTTGGTTATTTTCGCTAACAACATTTTGAGTGACTTTATAGTGGGTGAATATCATACTGTGAAAATACATTGCATGTGTGTATGTGGGTGTAAATTTGTTACTTGCAATTACTTTTAATTCTATTTTCTTATTTTCTTTCTTTTGAAATTTTATTCTGGTATTTTATATCATCTTGGTTTATGATTGAATTGTATGTTAGGTATCGTATTTTTAGGAGCATATTTCCTATCAAAAAGCATTTGTTGTGCATTTGGATAGTCAAACGTTGCTAAAAAGGAAAATACGTCTGGGTTCTTTTCATAGGTATGTAAAAGTTGATAACTTTGCGTTTGATTTTAAGTACATTTTAAAATTAATCGTAAGCGGTGTAGATGTTACTGTTAGTAAGTTAACGGTTGCTTATGTATCGCGACCTAGTACAAAGTAATAACTGAATGTATGATCATGTAAGCCTAAAGTGATAAGAAAACAGTGCTCTGTTGGCAGGTTAATCTTCAACATATTTGCAATCGTAAATATTCATTATTACCATTTATGGTGTGTTGAGAAAACTTAATAAATTTGGAAGTAATTAGAACTCAGAAGCATCTCATTTCCTATTTGGTTTCCATTACAAGATAAACATTTATCAAAGAAGTGGATGATTGTTACACGTATAAAATATTGGGTTCACGCATCTATCTACAGCGAGCATTTCACTGCATCTAGTTTTCAGGAGTGTAGTGTATAAGTTCTGAATTTTTTATTACCCAGACTATTGTAAACTGAACATGCCATTCTTTTATTTTGCAAGTTATAATATCTATAATATAATAATAATATCTATCAAGTGGCAGTGTTTGGAGATGAGTTTTCAATGATACAATAGCAATGACTACAGATATGTATGAATTACTCTTATCAATATCTCATAGTGAATTAACTGAATACGGTATATTAGGAATGGAATAATAAGTCATTACAAATGTAATACCAAATACATTGTTTTAAGCTTTTTGTGAAGTGTCAAATCGGAGAGTAAGTCTCCAGTGTATAAAAAATCTTAAGAATCTCATTCTGAAATGGTATGTTTGTTTTTAGTGAAAATTTAAGTTTCAGCGAGAAAACATGACTGACTGACCACTTTAAATGCAAGATTTATCATTGTCAAATTGCAAAATTTTACGAAGTCTTAATAGTTGTTGGAAAATTACACTTGATTTTGAATGTTTAGCTTTCAGAATAGTGTTCCATTTAAGTGTTCACATTGTTTTAATGTTGGAGCAAAATGTCGTCATATAAAACCAGCTATATCTATAATTACAGGTAACTAACACTTGAATGCGCGCCTGTGCTATGGTTTGTTCTAAGTAATCATATTTCGATACAGTAGTAAAGGAGGTGATGCTCAACAACACCCTTTTGAATTTTCCAGTAAATTGTTCCCTTACTAAATAGTTTCTTCAAAAGAAGATTAAACTAATGAGAGAGCACAAGAGGAGATGAGATAACAAATATCCAACATGGAAGAGCTCATCAAGAAGATGAAAGAGCAAGGTTTAATATTTTCTTAACATCACAGACCTTTTAGAACAACCCTGAGAAGACACACGAGAGAAAAATGACAAATCGTTGCCAAATGTTTTGCAAAGATTGGGCTCTTAACCTGTGACAAAATGATATAAACTGGACAGAACAGGAAGTAAAGGAGGAAATATTCGGAAAAGTCTAACCAAGTCAATTTTTTTTTCAAACATGTGTAAATAAAATATGCATGAGCACTTTTAAACCTTTGATAGCTCCTAAATTCACCATTTATGACTGGCAGTGTTCTGGTACACAGGGGATTTTTCGCACAATGTTTTAATGTAATTTTCCATTTTGCTGCAGAACTAAAACAGCTTGTTCAATTGTTTCACATCTTTTGTTACGAATGTTTAAAATTACTTAATTTTGATATATTTTTACTAACAGAAACTGGCCATTTAAACAGTTTCATTTATTGTAGTATTCATATTATAATGTGATATATTGGCTATACATGTCTATTTTAGTGTTCTTATCCACAAACACTAAACTTATTCGCTTTTTTTACTGTTCAGTTTGTTGATTTTAGCAAATTAGTTGAATGTTTTTCTTTTTTGGTGTTATTTTTCTGTTGATTATTACAGTTAATTCAAACAAATTTCACCAATGTTTTTCAATTTGTTTTTTCAAAATGAAATTCTATGTACCTTCTTTTTGCAAGTAAATTGTAAAACGGTATATCTTTTGTTTAATATATAGAATATCTCTGACAGTATAAATTTTTTTGCAGTTCTATTGATGTTAAATGTTTGTTTGTGTGGTTACTTTCATTGTATGTGAAATACCAGTACATTAGCATTCAAATATACCCCAAAAGCATTTTATACTTACAAGAATAAACAACTTGTCAATTATATTCGGTAGTTGATACTTTTTATCTAATGTAATTAATTTTTTTTATCTACTATAATTATTCTACATTTAGAATGATATCTTACAAAATCGCCCCCCAGTGGCACAGCGGTATGTCTGCGGACTTATAACACTAGAATTCGGGTTTCGATACCCGTGGTGGGCAGAGCACAGATAGCCCATTGTGTAGCTTTGTGCTTAATTACAAACAAACATACAAATGTCTCCGGATGGCACAGTAGTAAGTTTGAGAACTTACCATTGTTACTGTTCACCATTGCAAGTATTCATAATGTTTCTGATACCCTGACATTAGGTCTATGCTATATAACTATAACCTTTAACTGCAAATTAACAATAGTTTGAGAAATTCATGGAAAGTTATGCTGTAACACCTGCAAATTTGTCTCGTACGCATTACGTGTTATTATTCCTGTATAGAGACAATACCTTCGCAAGATGGCAATAGCACAGGCACAGCTGTAAGATACATCAAATTACCACTTTTGGAATCCAGGAACCCTCCTAATATCAACTTGCAATTCGCGATAGTCTTTGAACTCTCTATGAATCAACAACTAATAGCCCACACCTCTGCCATAATATTACATAAACAATCTGAAACATGGCATTATTTTCCTCACGCTACATTAGTAGGTTTTGGTAGTGTGTGTGTGTGTGTGCTTGGGAGGGGGATTCTTGGCCCAGTGCCTTCTTAGGCCTATGTATGCCATTGTATATAAAAAAGAAGACAAATCCGAACTTTAATTGTAAAAGTTTTTATTAAGATGATTTATTTCTGGCAAAATACACTACAAAAGCTAAAGTATATTTATAATTTTTAATACTATAGCTATGAAAAGGGAAAATAAAAACCCTATTATAAAACAATATCAATGATTCCTCCTTCTTCAGCTCAATGGTATGAAAATTAGACGTCTTATGATCAGTTATGTGATTTGAAATGCGTATAATCAGTCATTTGACCTATGATATTATATATAGTGGTCTCACATAATCATTTCTCAGTTGTTTTTTTTTAAGTTAATCACAGAGATGTACCGAGCTGCATTAAGGGACACATTATGAAGATTACATCTTACTATCCTTTGTGCTGCGATGTGCTAGTTTAAATTGTCACTGATCGTAACCTAATAGATAATAACGTCAATCTTCAATCACAGTACTAAACCTGTTGAAATATTCCTTGAAGATGACGAAATTTTTCTCATCGGATTCCAATCTTATTTATTATGTATGAAATGTTCTAGGTATTAAAAGTGATCTAAAAACTGCTCTTGTCATAACTATGGAGATGTAAAACCACTACTCTCAAATACACATTATTTAATTGTTTTTTATGGTATAATTTTCAATTACAAAAATGCATTGTATTGATCCATTATTTCAGTCGGGTGATTATTTATTTAACAGATATCTTAACCAAATGATATCAGAAACAGTTGGAACCATATAACTGTTCTCCTGTTTAACATGTTCTTAGTGTTTCAGAAGTAAGTCCGAAAATGTATAACATTAACAATTTAGTTTCGATAGCTGTAGTGAATACAGCACAGATAACCAATTGCGTAGCTTTGCGTTTAACAACAAAGAAACAAACAAATTGTTTAACGGTGGAAGGAAAATGATAAAATTTTAGAGCGTGATCAATTTAGCACTTGAGAGTAAGACTTTGGACAATGTGAATATTAATATAATGGTAGCAGTGATATTAGATATTTAGAACTTCCAACATATACCATAAGTATAGCTGCAATAATATAGGAATATATTACTACCAATAGTCTATAAACTACACTAAGAAGTATAGTTTAATCATGAAATGTACATTTGAAGCATAATGTATCGTCTAGGAGTATTAAGTTTTCATTGGCCCTTAGGTAACTTCAGCGAGCTGGGTTCGAATCCATGTGATACCACAAAACAATCTCTACAATTTAAGCAGTGAGGTGCGTTATAAGAGAAACCGTCAATCCCTTGGCGTGGGTGATAGGATGCTGCTAACTAGCTGCTTTCCCTCTGAGCATTAGTTCAAAATTAGGAACGGCGGTTCATAACCTAATATTTATGTCAAATACCTAGAACTTTCTGTTGAACATCGGTATATCTGAATACATATTTTTACTACGTAGAAACATGGAGAAGGAATAATCTTGCCATAAATCCGATCGAGCTTTTATGAGGTAGTTTTATGATATTGTATTAAAGTATGATGAAACAAACATGATGCCACGGTCCAAGGTTATTTAGATGTTTTGTAAAATGATAGGAAAGAAACAGCTAATATTATTATGGTTTTGTATTTCGTATATTGCTAGTGCAGTCTGTATGGCTTTACCAAGTCGTATTTAACGGTACTTTGCTACGAAACTATTTTAGCAATGAAGGAAACATATTTTACTATTTATTTTATTTTTTCTTATTTCCAAAGAATAACCGATGCCAAGCTTTTAAGGTAAAATTATTTTAACCTACGCTTTTTAAATGCTTCATAATCAGAACTAACACAAATTATTAACACTTATTTTTACATTTTACTCGACTCTTAAGTCATTAATTATGCTTTCCCTTTTTTAGGGTTACCGTTTGCTATACAAAGTGCTGGTTTGTGTGTAGGAATATTATTTCTACTACTGTCAGCTCTTATGATCGACTATTCATTGCGGATTATCATTTTAACAGCAAATCAACTTGAACTCGACACCTACCAGGTGAGTTTCTGCTTTTTTTACTTGGCTAGAATTTATCAGACATATATCAATTTCTTTCAATTAGATATTTACCAGAGGAGATATTATTACTACAATAGAGAAACTTTTAGGATAGAAGCGTTACTTTCAACGTAGATATATGCTAAACAAGCGTTTTAAAGGATTCTGTGCATCAACAACTTCCTATTTTAATTAAGTTTGCTTCAGTGTGCTTCTATGTGACTGTCGCTATGTAATTTATTCATAATAGTGATAATTAGTCAAAAAAAGTATACAAAGAGACCTGTCAAATAATGTTCAGCCAAAAAAGTAATTCCGAACCGCATGTATAGCTGCAGAGGTTTAGAAATAAATGTTGTAAATAAGTTATGAATATTTTTACCACACTATATACTTTTCAAACTTTCAACTGAAATCTACAATTTTAACAGTCGTTTTGAAATCTGGATAAATGTCGAATGTTACTTCGAATACAATTTATACTACCACTTGCCTCTTATGTTTACTTCGTGTCTATTTTTTATGATCAATCTGTTTGAATTTTCATTGTCGTTATTAACAAAAATCCAAAACTACTCCATCGTTACGAGAAATATTGCATTCACTTGCCTTCCTTTGTTACGTATTGATGACCAGTATTGACGGGTTATTTTTTTATTTACCAGTAACGTGCAACATCTCGACTTTGTTTGTTGTCAAGTGTAAAGCTGCGCAATGTCTGCATTTGCTGTGCCCATCAGAAGGATTATACCCTCTATTTTAGACTTATAAACCTTCAAGCTTATTATTTTTGTTTGTTTGTAATTAAGCACAAAGCTACACAATGGACAATGCTCTGCCCACCACGGGTATCGAAACCCGGACTCTAGCATTGTAAATTTTGATATTTTTGTTTCTTCTGATCATGAAAATTATCAAAGATGGTTTATTATTTTAATACCAGTAACTAAAGTGGCATGTGGATTGTCAATGCACTACATGAAATAAACAAGAATGTTGTACACGTAGAGACAGTTGTCAGATCGAAGCTTATTCCAGTAGTGTTCTGTACGGTGCTCATGAATGTGGCAGAATTTTATTTGTTTTTGCATAAGTTCGTATAATGACATCATGGCAAAGTATATGTGTAGCGAAACAAGAACCCTGTGTCTCTCCACGTGAGATGCGAATCCAGGAAATCAAATTTATTTAGATACCGAACATCTGTAAGTTAACATTAGCAATTTCATCCAGAAGTGTAGGGGTAGCTCTTTGCGAGTGTAATGTGTTGTTTCGTATGCAGCATAGGTAAGGACTGCAAGTTTCTGAATTTTGTACATAGTTTCTACAAAACCTAATAACTGTAAAGTATTTGAATGTGATTCAGTGGGTTTTGCATCGAGGTAGCCTAATGGATTTAAGGTGCTATAAATTAACATTTCAGTATTTTTTTAATTAGATATTAAAAATAGCTATGTTTTCTAAATGTCACAGAAGGTTTTATTGGTTGTACAGAGTAAAAGCGATAAGGTGAGATCTCACCTGACGAAGCCGGGTAAACCTGGTGAAAAGTTGTGAATAAAATAAACGTTCTGTACAGCCAATAAAACCTTTTGTGAAATTTAAGTATTCAACTGAGACCAAAAATATATTAAGATAATTAATAGTTGTAGTGACATTAATATTTGTGATGAAAAAATGATTTCACATTTCAAATATATGAACTTTTCTCCCTTAAATGTAATGTTCCAACAAATGTCATACAGAGTATTATACATTATACTTTTTAAGTATTGTAACATTTGTTGCAGTAATAAATTTTTAATATCTAATATAAATATATTAATCAAATATTTTAAATTATTTACATAATTTTGAAAAGAATTACATGAATAAAATCATAATAAATACAATCAAAAATAATTTCTAATATTTATTGGTGGAAGGGGAAGTAATTAGAATTGCTAATTTGGACATTATATATATATATATATATAAAGACGAAATGTGTGTTTGTTTGTATCCCAACGTCTCTGAGCCTTTTAGGCCAATCTCAATTAAAATTGGTATGTAGACACTATGAAATATGGGGAATGTCACAAGGGAGTCAAAATTGAACTTAACCCTATTTCTATTTTTTAATGCTTCTTGGTTAATTTCCCCCACCTTATTCAGTCAATCTCAAATAATATTGGCAGGTTGACGCTTTATGCAATGTTGAATATTCTAGGGGGATTCAAGATCAAAGTATGAAAGTTGCTGGATTGTTTCTCAAACGACCATGCTTTTCTGATGGTCAATGAGATGTAGGATCTTCAAATGTGGGATCACCTCAAAATCTTTATTTGTTGTTAGATGGAAAGCAAACTGCAAATGTTGTTTATGAAGAAGCTTTGTTATAATTTTAAAACTTTCAGATAAAGTTCATGTTCAAGTTATTACTTTGAAATATATGATTGCTGTTAAACTTACATGGTTTGAATTAAGTTTAAACATTCCCCGTCAGCTTGTATCTTATACAGGAGGAATAATGTAGTTGTATCACCTTCCTTATTTAAGACCTGCTACTGTGGGGATCGTTTAAGAACCACTAAAGATCCAGATAGTGGCATAGGAGGATGAAGGATGGAAGTTATATCAATAGCATAAAGGTTGGAAATAGAATAGTAATACCTTAACATCTTGATATGTACGTACGTCCAAACATCGTATTGAGGGCTGGAATGCTGACTTCGAGAATAGTTTTGTTGTCTTCCACATAAATGTATAGCTCTCTAATTATTAATATTTTATCCATTGAAGTTAAACCAGAGAGACGATGTATCTTCAACTCAATTTAGGTCTTACTTCCGCCGGTACCTCAAACAACTAGGGTACATTACACTAGTATAAGAAAAAAATTATAGCTAAATAAAAAAGCTCTGTAGATCTGGGTGTTGAACTTGAAAAAAGGAACCAAACAAGACAGGGATGGAAGTATACATACCACTTGATCGACTAATGGTTACATAGCAGATTAAGCTGCCTCAACTTTACATGGAGAATAAAATTCTTACATTACTGGCTTCCCCACTTTGTCTATCGAAAGTTTGGTGTTTGAATAGAATCTTAGCTTTCATCATTATACTTTTCCTTTAGTTAACGTTAGAATACTACATTATGACTACGTTACAATAGAGTAACATTTTACGATTGGAAATTCTGGTTCTATTTATATGTACATATATATTGTTACGTCTCCGTTCGTTAGTTAATTTTCCGTAAATTAGTTCCGACGAAACTTTAGCGACACAAGTCCTTTCTTAAATATAACTGGTTTATTCTTTCTGAATACAACTTTGCAATACACTTAATTTCCACAGTCGCGCTATAACAAACGCTATAGTTCACAACGAACGTCTCACGTGCTCAACTCAACAATACTCTATCCGCAGTTCAATTACACATTGTTCCCGTCGCTTCTTGGCCGGTCTTATATATACAAAACTACTTCATATCTAGTAGTCTCCCGATGCTTCATGAACGGTCTAGAAGCGCGTGGCGTGTTACTAGAGTCACGTGACCTCCGCTGTCGTAACACTGCCCCTTCCTTGGTATTGTTCGTTCCGAACAATAGCCACTTACATGAAACCAATAAACAATTAACAATAACTTAATTAAATGTACAGAATTTACAAACACAAAATTAAAATTCAACAAAGTCTCTTAATTTTACGGGAAGTATTTTCTTCTGTACTGGCCTCCGTCTCGTTGGCTTCTGCTTCATGTGTGGTTCATCTACTTCATCAGGAAATGTCCTATCATCGGTAACAGTCACATCAGCGGTAGTAACTTCATCAAGGGCTTCACCGTTTCCCTTCTCAAAACTGAGTAGAGTTTCTTCTTTGACAGTGGCTTCTTCAGGTGGCACGTTATCAGCAACGTCATTTGTTCTGTTGTTCACTTCATTCCAACTGAAATGTCCTAGACTGTGATAATGCCAAAGCCTGTTGGCATGCACCACTTTTGGCTTACCTCGCCGACCACATTTTACCCATGAAAGTCACGTCTGAGAGACGATCCACTATGTCATATGGGCCTTCCCATGGAGAAGACAACTTAGGAGACTTCCCTTTGGTCTTCCTGGGATTATACAACCATACCTTGTCTCCTGGTACAAAGCTGACTTCAGTAGATCTCTTATCATAAGTTAACGTCATCGAATCAGCAGACGTTTTAAAGTTTGAACGCACTTGAAAGTGAATATCATCCATCCTTTCAGATAACACTTTCACAAACTCTGATACATTTTCAGGCAACTCTTCATAAGGTGGGCGTCCTGTTAACAGATCCACTGGCAACCGAAGTTCTCTGCCACAACATCAGCTTTGCTGGAGTGTATCCAGTGGCTTCATGTACTGCTGTTCTATAGGCCAACAATAGTGGAGGGAGTAAGACATTCCAGGCATCTTGGCGGCTATAACAAAACTTTGCCAATTCCTGTCCAAGTGTCCAGTTG